AAATTTGATAGATAGATAGATAGATAGATAGATAGATAGATAGATAGATAGATAGATAGAAGCTCCCTCCAATCTCATTCATCTCCTAGTGACTCCCTGTAGCTTTCTTGGCAACCCTATGAAGGTGGCTTGCCTTTGCCTCCTTCCATAGTGTTTTTTCAACTATTTGGTCTAGCTTACAGTCCTGAAATTTCTGGTGGTCTCCCATCCACATATGGACCCTGCTTAGGTTTTTTGTTTTTGTATTTTTTTAAGTTTTCCAGGATTGGTTAAGGGTCTGCCAGCAGTTGGGCACTGAAAGTTTAGAGAATTGAAATCAGCCTCTTGGTTTTTCCTGCCATTAAAAATTAAAGCAGAAGTATTGCAGTAGAAATGGATTCACAATGATCAGCCCTGAAATTATAATTGGCATGGTTAAAAACAATTGTGTAAAGCATCTCAAAGAAAAGCTGTACACTGTATTGATTTGTATTTGTACCCTAATTTGTATTGAACCCTAATACAAATATGTGTGCAATTTTTAGTGCCAGAGTCATATAATTATTTAAGCAGCAAAGATGGTAGGTTTGTAATCTAAAATAAAGGGAATTAGAACAAAAGTAAGCCGAAAGGAAACTTTGAGGCAGACTTCAAAGGCTGAGGAGAAGATGTTAAAGAGAAGGAAGAGCAGTGAAGGGTTAAATTCCAAATTTTTGGTATATCATTCATCACATTTATGTTTTTAACTTATTTCTTTTAACTTATTCCTTTTCCTGCATTAACCTTACATATACTAAACAGTGGTGAAATGTCAAAGAAGGATGAAGTCCCTCCTGACTCTTTGTCTTTGGTCCCTACAGGTATGTAGTGTTTACCACTAAGCATCATGAGGGCTTCACCAACTGGGGGTCCAAAGCATCCTGGAACTGGAATTCAGTTGATACCGGCCCCCACCGTGACTTGGTTGGTGAACTAGGAGATGCTCTCCGAAAAAGGTACTGATCTGGTTTTAAAGGGGGAGTCAGGATGGTGCAGAATAATAGGCTTAATAATTAATAACTTTGGATGATTGTTATTTTGTGATTTCCCCCCCCCCTTTTGTTTAATCTTAGAAACATATCCTATGGACTGTATCATTCCCTTTTTGAATGGTTTCATCCACTGTATTTACTGGACAAAAAAAATGGCTTCAAGAGCCAGTTTTTTGTTGCTGGGAAAACTCTTCCAGAACTTTATGAACTTGTTTTAAGGTAAGAGCAGAATGTCTTTGGACTATCTAGATGGGCTCAGAAAATTGATGGTCACCAGTCCTTCCCCCCTGCCTCCTCCATCAGCTCTGCTCTAGGCATGTTTTCTCAGAAGTAAATCTAGGGCTTGGTGGGGATTACTCTGAAGCAGGTCTGCACTGGATTGTTGCCTTAGCTCTCACCGTACAGTATGCTGTGCTCCTTTGGAAAGTGAGAAACATTCCCTTTGGTTTCTTGTTCCAGATTTTAGGAGCCTGGGGGAGAAGAGCACAGCTTGCTTTGATGTTACTCAGAAGCTGACTTCCCTAAACTTAGCAGAAGAGGTGAAAAGTGCATATATGTCTTTGTAAGCATAAGGGATAGCAAATGTACCCCATAAAATAGAAATGGGTGTTTCCCAGAACTTGGGTACCCCATCTTTGTTGCCATGTACAATATCAACCTTATGGCCCTTCCGTCTCTCTCCCTCCTACCCCCAACATTTTTTATACAAATATAGTGATGTATGTACAGGTAGTCCTTGTTTAATAACCACAATTGGGACTGGCAACTTGGTCATTAAGCAAAGCAGTTGCTACGTGAAATTGTGACTGTGCTTATGATCTTCCTTCCGCTTTCCTTTGCTTTACAGACCTGCAAAGGTCGAAAATGCAAGGATTGGCCGTAAAGTTACTTTTCATCACCGTGTAACTGCGAATGGTCACTAAACAAGGCAGTTGCTAAATGAGGACTTTCCTTTGCTTTACAGACCTGCAAAGGTCGAAAATGCAAGGATTGGCCGTAAAGTTACTTTTCATCACCGTGTAACTGCGAATGGTCACTAAACAAGGCAGTTGCTAAATGAGGACTACCTGTACACATAATGTAGAAATATAAGATATAAACTGGTATATTTTGTTAATTGATTACAACGATATGATCATAGAGGAAACCAGTCCCTATGGACTCATCTTAGGATGGTCCAATTACTAGAATGCAGCCATTAAATCTTTCGATTTTATTAACTTGCCTCTTAAGGTACAAGCCGGATATTATTTGGTCGGATGGCGATTGGGAAGCTCCGGATACTTACTGGAACTCAACTTCTTTCCTTGCCTGGCTGTACAACGATAGTCCAGTCAAGGTATCTGCACTTCCTTCAATTTCAGGTGTTTTGACCTGGAGGCTGTTCTCCTGTTTGCTTACAACTGAGAGGGAACCATTGGAATAATTTCTGATATTTGGGTTCTTTGCATTTGGTTACATCCTAAGTGAAACTTTGGCCTCTTTTTCCTGCTCCTGTGGGGAGAGGCAACCTGGTGTTACTGAAGGGTTCATAAGTTGGGCATCTGAAGAGGGCAGAAATGCGAAAATTTCTATCCTACATACTACAAGGAAATGTGGACAGAACCTAGCTACTTTTAGTAGTTCCCATCCCATGTGTAGGAAGTTTGAGGCTGTGGGGGGGAGTGATGGGGTGGTGTCAGCATCAAGAACCAAACCTGGAGTGCAGCCTGGAGGGGAGACCATCAACTGGTTTACTTATTCTCATGCCTTCGCCCTTTATCAAATCATGACAATCCTTGGAGTAGTATTAGAAAGGCTTAATATTTAGATAAGAGAGCAGGGAAGGCCTAAGTTACCCTGTATGATTAAAATTAGCATGCAGGACTAATTGTGTCTAAGACAAGTGTAACAAAGTTAGCAAGGACCAATTCTTGGTACCTCTGTAATATAAGTTATTTGCAGTATTTAATAATAGGGCTTTGCATAGTTTTTAAAAAGGGTGCTTTGCAAAATGGATTGGTACAAGCAGAGTACCCACTTAGCAGCATTAAAGTAGCTATATTCCATGTTTCAAAGGCTTTGGCTGGCTGGGTGTGCCCCAATGCACACATGTAGAGAAAATACTTCCATTGGATCTGTTTTGCTGCAGGATCAAAATAAAGCAGGTTCCCCATTTTATACACATCCTTTTAGGTTCTTTCTCTCCTGCAAGTTGCTACCTCTGTGAAGGGATGGACAGGAAGCTATGAACCATCTCTAACCCTTGCCTTCTGATGAAAAGTTAGAAACAGATTCTGGGCTACGCATCCTGCGGCCCTCAAGATATAGATAAACTAGAATTTTCAGAATCTCTCACCAGGCTGACGGGGGCTGCTGAGAGTTGTCATTCATCGACATTTGGGGGATCATCACTTCCCTCCCACCGGTTGCTTTCCGTTGGTTTTGACCAATCTAGCTACGGTGAAGAGCACATACAGAATCTTTAAACTAAACATTGTGTTATTCAGCCCACTTGGAAGTGCTAGTAGGGCTGCCCTAAAGCCTTTGTTTTAAAGCCCATTCTTACTCTTAAAAGATAGTAATGAAATGCAACCAACCGACTTGAAATGTTCCTTCTGGATTTCTCTTCCCAGGATACTGTGGTGGTGAATGATCGATGGGGCTTCAATTGTTCCTGCCACCATGGGGGCTACTACAATTGTCAGGATAAGTTCAAGCCTGGCACTCTGCCAGACCACAAGTGGGAGATGTGTACCTCTATTGACGTCAGGTCATGGGGTTACCGCAGCAACATGCAAGTTTATGAACTCATGAGTGAATTCACCATTATTAAGGTGAGCCTGGGAAGGGTAAGCAAAGGCTGAGGATTTGTTAGGCCAGTGGAACCTGCAAAGAGCTGCTGAAGCTGCAGGAACAGGAGCCACGGCTCAGTCGGGCCTCAGATTTCTCTGAAATAAGCCTTGTTCCTTAAGAGCACATTCTCCACGCGTATATGCAACAAGAGGCGGTGAGACTGCAGCTCCCACAGGAGTCCACCTAAACTTCAGGGACAGGATTTTGAAAATGTGAATGAAAAACTGAGCCAAACCATAGGTAGGCAGCCTGATGGAGAAATGCCGGCGCCTGCAAATGGTACGCCAGTAAAGCAGTGGATCAACGCATTTTTCTTGAGCAGGGATTCTCCAGAGTTCCGCCAGGTGATCTGAGCCTCCTTGTGTTCCCTTCCCTTCATCTGGCCGGAGCCTGCTCGCTGCCTTGGCCCCCGCTTTGTGTGTGCAGTTACTGACTGTGAATCTACATGCGTGTGTTAAGTGGAGCTTGTCTTGCACAAGTAACCTCAAAGAAAAGTGCAAATAGGAACTGGGTTGATGAATATAAAAAAGGAATTTCATGAGGCTGGAAGCACACTTGCACCTAATCCTCTGGGTATTTTATGTTATGGAACTTTGCCAAAGTTGCTGTGAAGTTTAAGAGTTGTTGTTATAGGGCATGGGGTACATAAAACGATGGAAATGGCAAAGAACTTTGGGTTAAAAGGCCTTTAAAATGGGGAATGGCAAAGCATACATAAATGCAGCTATAATTATGTTTAAGACTGTGGGAGTTCATGAAGACAAAAATGGGGGGGGGGTTGTTTAACAATGTGGTCCTCATATTTCCTAAACATTTATTAAGTGGCCCATGACTAAAGTGTTTGGAAATCAATGCTATAAAGTATCCTCCAGCTTAAGACAACCCACGTGTGCAGTTTATCATTATTTTTAGGGTTGGGTTAGAAAACCCCTTGGGATGAATGCACATATAAGCACTTCCTTTGGTACTACCATGTTCTCCATATCATTTGACTTACTCTTCCCCCCCAGAATACTATTTATACTTTTATTACAAATACTTACTACTTGTAATAAAAATAAATAACTGAGGAGCAAAACAAAATAGCAACTTCTAGTATTACTTCCCAGAACACCTCTGATCCCATACAGAGTGTTCATGGGCCTTCTCAGAAAATATGAATGGTGGGTGGCTGCTGCCCAGTCTTTAAAAGTGTGCCCCCCAGATATCCCCAGCCCCCCAAAGAAAACGTGGGATGAAAGAGTTTAAGAACATGAGGGAATGGAAGCAAGCAACCCCACTACTTGTTTTCCAATACATAAATACAGGTAGTTCTTGCTTAATGACTGTTCATTTAGTGTCCATTCGAAGTTACAACAGCACTAAAAAAGTGACAGCTGGTGCCGAAAGTTATGACTGTCACAATGCCCCCAGGATCACATGATCGCAATCTGGTGCTTCCCAACCAGCTTCCAAATTCCAGCAAGCAAATTCAATGGGGAACCGCGTGATTCGCTTAACGACTGAGGTGATTTGCTTAATGACCACAGTGATTCACTTGACAGCCATCACAAAAAAGGTCGTAAAATCGGGTCTGGTCCCATGATGATTTGCTTAACAACCACATCACTTAGCAACCTAAATTCCAGTCCCAATTGTGGTCATTAAGCGAGGACTACCTGTATTTTTATGATGAGACAGGCCCGCCCTGGGAGCTGTTTTGTGATGTGCAGATGCCTCCATGGTAGTGTGCCCAATAATTTGTTTTCCAAAGTCTGAAATGCTGCCGGACTAAAAGGGTTGCCATAAAGTGTTTAAAAGACATTTTTGTTTTCTTCCTCCCTTCACCACAGGAACTTGTGCATACTGTCAGTTATGGAGGAAATTACCTTCTCAATGTGGGGCCAACCAAAGAAGGAACGATTGCTCCAATTTTCCAAGAGAGGCTCTTGGCACTTGGGACCTGGCTGAAGATTAATGGGGAGGCCATTTATGAATCAAAGCCATGGCGGATACAAAAGGAGAATTGCAGTGACGAGATATGGTATGGCAAAGCTCACTGAGAGAGGCTGCTTGTTCTCAGAGATGGGAGCACATTGTTTCTAACGCTTCTTTGAGCAGAAATCTGGCATTATCTGCATAGAAACAAGAGGAGGCACCATCAGGTACATAACTGCAGAAGTCACGAGGTTGAAGTTCTAAGCCAATTTCTATAACTTTCTGTTTGGAGGGTAGGTGTTCTCCATGAGACTGATACCATAATTACACACTTTACTTTTTTTTTGAAATGTGCATGTTTTTGCCTTTTTTTTTTTTTGGGTTACACTATGAACATTCAGAAAAACAGCTGAAAGAAGAGTCATAAAGCATCTCAGTTAAGGTCCAAATATCTGTTATTTTTACTGCAGTGGTAGCTAGAGCAACTCCTGCAAGAAGTTGCGTGTGATGGAAGTTGAAGCATACAAGGCTTTACTGCAGAAAAAGACGCAGTGTGCCGAAGTACAGATAACCAGTATAAATCCAGCTGACTGAACATTAGAGCCCTCTTCCTCTTAGCGTTCATGGTCTGAATATTGGTTTTCAAAATTAGCTTTTTTTATTGGTTTGGGCTACTTTGGATTTAGTGATCGGACTTGGCTGGATTACAGCATTTTGCAACTACTGTACAAAGAACGGTGCTAGTAGCCTCTCCTTATTTAAAAGACGATTAAACTGAAGGTTTTGTTTCCTTTAGTTGACTTTTTAGGTGCTTTGATGGATCTGGGGAGGGTAGGAGAAAGATGGTAGGATTGAGTGTTTTTATATTTTCTGTAAAAAAAAAAAAAGTAATCTGGCTTTTCCCCTTCTTTTTAAAAGGAAATGTATAATTGTATTAAACTTCTCTGATTATAGCCCAGCTGTGAAGTAGTGATACATTCAGTCATAAACAAAGGATGGTAAAATTTGAGTTCTCTAAAGACAAGAGGACGCTAGAAAAGCCTCTCTCTGCAATGGGAATTCATGGAAAGTTTCACACAGGCCTTGCCAGGTTCCCTGCCATGGTGTTGACGACAGCAGTTGAAAAACAAGGACAGACTGTAATGCAATATTTGCATTTTCAGAGAGCATGTGTGAGGCTGTTCTTTGAGGATTTCATCACACACGGCTGATCAGCCCCAGTGTGAGAAAAGCAAGCGTCCTGGCCTTCACCTGCAGTCAAACTGATCAAGGGAAGGAGTTGCACAAATGGAAGTCCTGCTACCTCCAAAGGTGGATGTTGTCTGTCTGTTTCAGTATTTCCACACTGCTCTCCACAATTCCGTATTTTGCCTTATGTTCCTCCAGGTACACTTCGAAGGGGCCCGCAGTCTATGCTATTTTCTTGGTTTGGCCAAAAGACGACGTGCTGACCCTTTCATCACCTGTTCTGTCTGCAAGCATTCAAGTAAGGAGAGTAAAAAATAAAGCCAGTTTTGGAAATAACCTGGAGTAGGACATAGTAACATTTGGGAAATCTCATTTATTTTGTTTTGAAAGCAATGTCGATTTCTTTTCCATAACAACACTGAAAGTGTCTCACAACAATAAATTATGCACAGACCAAAGCCAAATCTGCAGAATATGTAAAATAAGATTAATACCATCAAAACAACAAAAAATCCAACCCCCAACAAAAAACAGCTGCTCATAAATGCTAATAATTTTAAAAAGCACAACATAAAAACAGTTGTAACATATTAATACCTGCATATAACACTTCAGAAATAATTTGGAAAAGGCTCTTTGGAACATGAATACAGCCTCTGTCTACTACTCTCTAAAGCAGCTGCATCTTTTTCTAGGATTATATGGCTGCTTTCCACAGCTGATGTAATCATCCTGGGGAAAGATGCAGCTGCTTTAAAGCATTGCAGATGTTGCATTTGTGCCATCATGCTCTGGAGCGCTTTTGGGGTACTCAGTCCAGAGCACTCTGTGACCCTCTTCACCAGGAGGAAGACTATGTGATTAGTTAAAGGTGGTCTGATATAACCAAGATTTTACTAGATGCACGGGAGGTTAATTTTGCCATTTAGCGTAACTCTGCTGGGAGGGCATTCCACAATATCAACTCTGCTCCTAGTTGGATTTCCTTAGGTTTCAGGCAGCCAAAGAGCCTAGCAGAACATCCCAGCTGTTTAACTTATTATGGGGGAAGAATATATGGAAGAAAGCAGCCTTAGAGCTCCCGAAATCTGTCAAATTTTAGGTTTATGTTCTAAGATATTAATTAAAAATAATTAGGTTATACAAGTAGTCCCCAGTTTAAGTACAAATTCCGTTCCCAAGGTCTGTCCTTAAGTCAAATGTGTATGTAAGCCAGAACAGTATTACTGTATAATGCTGTATAAGTAGTATTGTTTAATTAACTCGAATCATTGTGTATTTAACTCGAATTTTGCTGCAATAGGCTCCATTCTTAACTATGGGTCATCCATAAATTGGGCATTCTTAACCCGGGAACTACCTGTAGTTACCATAAGAACTTGAAAACTCCATTTCCCAATAGTCAGTAAGAGAGTATATGAAACCCTCTTACTAGGGCAACCATAGCTGGGTGGATGCCAAACCGTTCCTGTAATAGGCAAACAAAATGACTGTTAATAAGCAGTGTACAGAATTCACATTGCTAAATGCTTTGTCTGGTTCTTCTGTGTTGTGGATGTGGTGCACCTTGTGCTCTGCGGTAATTTTTAATAGGCTATTGCTAACATACTGTCAGGGGATACAATTAGATTATGTCTTGCCCTTGGGAAAGAAAGAGATGCTGTTTTATGCCTGTTAGTATCTAAAGGAAGTCACAGTGCACCTCCCCACTGCTAAAAGTTAGGCATGATCAATTTAGTTTCTTTTTGGGTATCTTCCTTTCTAAAACAACTTTGTGAAAATGAAATTGTCTTTATCAGTCTTGGTATATAAGCAGTGATACCATGAGAATCCCATCAAGGCATTTGCATCCATGCCTGCCTTTCTATACATCTCTTTTTCCTGGAAAAATCATCCAAGCAGGTTTCTGAAATTGTTGTACTTCATTCTGGCTGGTCATTTTGTCTAGTGTTGAACAGACTTGGGCCATGTGCTCTTTGATGCAACTGATGCTCTGCAAACAGTAGCAGCTGAGAAGTGTTCCCACTGGGCTTGTGGGCCAAGGGACTTCAATTTCAGGATTCAGTTTCAAACCTTGTAAAGGTAGACCTCGTTTAGTGACTGCCTCGTTTAGCAACTGCAGTTACAACAGCGATAAAAAATAACGTTAGGACCAGTCCTCGCATTTATGACCTTTTCAGGTATGTAAAACAAAGCTGAAGTAAGATCATAAGCACAGTTATGGTTTCACTTCGTGATTGTTTCGCTTAATGACTGAATTGCTGGTCCCAATTGTGGTCGTTAAATGAGGACTACCTGTATAGACATGCAGTTCTGCACTGGATGTATTTGAAACCTTTAGCCCCACATGCTGTACCAGTGACTGTTACCTGTAATAGCTGGTCTAAGATCTTAAAATATGCCTTGTACAGAGCAACAGACACTATAGCAGGTAGAAGCCTCTAGTAACCTTTTGTTAAAATTGATTTTGAAAAAAGGTAAGCAGGGTCAGACCTGGTTAGCTCCTGGATGAGAGACCATCAGGCAATCATAGGATTATGGACTAAACAGGAAAGGTGTTTTTTTTTTTGTTTTTTTTAAGGATACTGGAAAAAGTAGCCACCACTTATATATTGTTGCCACAAAAAACCCTACATGTGCATAGAGTCCCCAGGAGCTGAGCCCAACTGAAAGAAGTCTTTACCTTTTGTTTCTTGTTCCTTGCAGGTCAGTATGTTGGGATTCTTCAAGCCTTTAAAGTGGCAGTCATCACCACAACAAGAATTGCAAGTCTTGTTGCCCTCAGAAAATCGTTGGCTTCTCCCATTCCAGCATGGCTGGACTATTAAGCTACTTGGGGTATCGTGAGGGCAAATTTGGAAACAAATCACAAAATGTCTGTCCCTTTTATCTCATGATTAAAGCTGGTGCTGAAACAGCGGTGGTTAGGGGGCTGAAAAGAACTGGAAGAAGATGCACATAAAGAACACGAGCTGCAGGTCAGTAAATCTAAGCATTTGCATGCCGGCCATTCCCGTGCATTACAATTCAAAGGGATGGCTGTAAATTGGACACCCAACTTGAGTTAAACTTGATATAATACACAAATCCAAAATTGTGCAATAAGTTGAAACATCGCTTCCACGGGAAAAAGATATCTCAGGAAAATTACATTTTGTGGCACAAAACTACCTTTGGCTATGGAAGAGGCCTCTGCTGCAATTTTTCCCAGGAGCTGGCTTTGAAATGCAAATCTATTTAGCTCATTTTGGCCTGGATGAAAAAATTCTCTGGGGTTGCTTCAGATGGTGACCTCAAAAGCCTCCACAGAAGTTCTGGTTGAGGCAGAACAGAGAAGCCTTGAAGCTGCGCTTAAAAATAAGCAAGGTCCGAGGGGCAAGGGAACATGTTATGATCCAGGATTGCTAATAACAAACCACTAATAATAGATCCCATTATGGGGCAATAGAGAATGATATGCCAGGTGTACTGAAATAGTGAAATGACTTGAGGAGAAGAAAAACAATGTCATTCTTGGAAAGCAGAGGAATTATGACATATAAATGTGTTTTCAGGATTTCAGCATTGGGCAAGAGAAAGGACTCTGCTGGAATAGGATCTAAGACTACTATATTTGTTTTCATGAAAGTTGCATTTAAAAAAAGAATCCCTGTACTGATTCCACCTACAGAGTACACAGATCTGGTCTTTTCTTACCTTTGTGTGCATCTTTGCATCCAGGCGAGACTTGCTAGCTGAAAAGATCCAGTTCAGACAACTGCATATTTGCTAGGTTCCTTTCAGCCATGTGCTTCATCTGCTTTCTGTATCTTTCTGCAAGCCCAATTATGACAAAATCAACTTGCCTCGTGAGCTGCTCATTCAATTTTCCTTTGCTACCACCTTCCCTTCTGATTTTTTTATAGACAAACAAGATAGGAGAGGAGACACTTCTGTTCCATTCCTCAAGGATGGTTCTGGCTCTCCAAATACAAGCCAGTCATATCCTGGCTCAGGAAAGAAAAAGTTTTCAGTCACAAAATCAAGCAGTGGAATCTAAACTAACATTTCTCAGTATAGACACTCTAAGAGGAGAGCTGTTAAGCAAAAAATCAGCAGCCTGATAGCACCTTTTCCAACTAACATTCTTTTTTTAATTAAAAGACATACATTTTCATGAGCTGCAGCTGATGAAGTCAAGAAATTTTTTAAAAATAAAATGTGTTCGCTGGAAAAGGTGCTTACCAGACCCCTGATTTTTTGTGCAAATTAACATAACCCAGGCCATAAGGACTGAGGAACTGGCCAGATGCTCTAGCAAACAAGACTTCTTTGGCAGTTTTTGGAGTTCCCATTTTTCTTGAGGCAAAGCCCACAGCTGCCAAACTAGGCTTGAGTTCACAGCAGATGGGCTTGCCTGAAATAGTGACCTTCAGAGAGGTGTGGTACAGTCCGATGCATAGCGTATGGGATACAGTGGTACCTCGGGTCACGAACGCTTCTGTTCACAACCAATTCGGGTCACGAACAGCACCGTTCGCAAAATTTTGCTTCCGTTTGCGAATGCCGGATCGGGTGATGAACAGGATCCGCGGCCATTTTTCCTGCTGTGACACGTGGTCGTGGCTTCCTGTAGGGAGGGGGACTCTCCCTCCAAGCAATAACCGCCTCCCCACCCGCCTTCCTGTCCTCCACGCCTCAAGCGAGGTTAGCGTTCTCTCTCTTTGTACTGTACTTTGTGTCATATTTTTGTGGTTTAAAAAAAATTTCAAGAGATTATCCTGGTACAGGTTTCTGCAATGTATCAATCACGGTGTTTCAAGAGATTATCCTGGTACAGGTTTCTGCAATGTATCAATCACGGTGGATACATTGCAGAAACCTGTACCAGGATAATCTCTTGAAACGTATTTACATTGAACCTTATGGGAAAATTTGATTCAGGTCGCGACCAATTCGGGTTGCAACCAGAGTCGCGGAATGAATTAAGTTCATGAACCAAGGTACCACTGTACTGTCACCTCTCTATAGGCTCCAGATTAGGAGAAGGGAACCGAGTGATGAACTAGCCAGTCCAAAGATGTTTAAGTACTGCGTTGTCAGTGTTTTGCAGTCCTGAGAATTTCCCCTTCCCCTTCCAATAATTTTTCATACCAATGGTCAGATAGGACAGGGAATAAGAAATTTCAAGAATGGATTAGAACCAAGTTTCCAAAAAGAATAATTCAGTTTTGCGTGAATAAATTATATCCAATGTTGGTAAATCAAGGGGAAAAAATACAGGAACATGTAGATTGAATAAGGTTTCAAGAGATTATCCTGGTACAGGTTTCTGCAATGTATCAATCACGGTGCCTTTTTATTTTCTTCGAATCAGCTTTTAAATGTTATTTTTTAAAAAATGAATAAATATTGGAATACAAATAAATGTTTGCATCGGTCTGACTTTATAGCACAGCCATACCTGAAACAAATTGAGTAGAAAGATTACTTGTAGCAAGATCATCAGGGCATCAGAATTCTTTTGGTGATCATCTTAATACTGTTATACTGTATATACTTAATACTGTTATGTGAGAACACACATTTTTGTAAAGCTACTTCTGAAAATGCCTTCCAGTTGGAATAAGATTTTTGCATTTATCTAGGCTTAACTGTGTTTAGCTGAAAGGAAAACTAGTGTTCCCCCCCCCCCAATAATTTACCCTTAAATGAGAGGACAGTTGTAACTTGCAGAGAATATGGAGACAAACAGGTTCTTACAATTCAGTCCTCTTTTGAGGAGACTGCTTAAATCAAAGGTAATCTTTCTCAGGTAATGTAGTACCTAAGTAATACTTGCAATAACTTTTTAATTTAGGCTAATATGATTACAGTACTTCTGTGTAAAAGGCTTGCTTCTGAGGAGAGTTTTGAAAGGGGGGAGCTTGCATTCACAGAATGGAAGTAAACTCTTCAGAGTCAGGGGAGGAACTGGCAATCTTGTCTTGTGCATACTAAGCAACAAAGTATCCATTCATAGATAGGGGAATATAATTTGTCAATAATCAACTTGTCATTTTAGTGTCACTTTTAATTATTTAATTTACTCTTCATCAGTGACTGAGCAGGGATTTTCTGCACGATAACTTTTCAACGCAACTTTACCTTCAAACTATGGCTGTGCTAGTTCTTTTCCCTCAGCCAAAGCTACCCCTGGCCTGCTCCTTTCATTACTTTGGATCAGTTCTGAAATGATTTCTTCAGAGCTGGGTGCCGCTTGCTGCAAATAAAGGCAATTGCCAACGAACGTCACTGCTCGATCATTAAATGCTGCGATGTGCAATAACAGCCTGCAAAATAGAGACTGCCAGGGTTGGAATCTGTTCCAGTTGAAAGATCAAAAAAACAAAATTGATGTCATTGCTCAGCTGGCCTTACGGGACGTGTGGAGCCCAAGACTAGTTCAGACAGTTTAGATGATTGGCAAATTGTGTTTGGCATCGATTGTCCCCTGCATTCCAGTGAAGAATAGCCACGGTGCTGACACGTGCTTTCTGTGCCAGCAATGGATGTGGCCTTGGCACGGGAGCACAATTATTGTTGAACCCTGGGGGAGAGAATAGCGATACACTTCTCTTCATTTCACCAGATGCAAGGGATGTTGCCTGCAAGAGCCAAAACAAACAGTACCTTTGTTTCAGAGCCCTCTTCTCTTGTTGATTTAATGGTATAAATGAGTGTAGGACACTTGTCCAAGTCAACTGTGCAAGCTAAAGCCCTGTGTGAGCAGGAAGTACCAGAGTGCCAAATGGGACCTTTACGAAGAGGAAGTTTGATAGGGCAGGTATGTGCTTTTTCCCCCCCAAAATACCAAAATGAGAGTAGAATTATCTAAATTGCTGCTATGGGTAATAAGATGCAACAAACAAAGATTGTGTGATTCTTAGATTTCAGTTGCTATCCTGTGCATGCTTGTATGGGAGTAATCCCCATTGGATTCAGTGAGACACTTCTAACAACCGTGCACAGAATCAGGTTCTAAGGGGGTTGGTTTTGTGATAGCCAGAAATGTTCCAAGCAAAAGAGAATCTACAATTGCAAAGGTTTATGACTCGTGTTATTAAATTCAACCTTGTAAAAAGGTATAACAAAAATGAAGCAGTCCATCTTGGATTCAAGCAAGACCTTTAAATCAATGATAGAACTTTTTAATCCAGTATCAGTCTTGACTCCTGGTGATTATATGGATAGGTCCATGCGGTTTCTTGGCAGCATTTCAGAAGTAGTTTTCCCTTCCTACATTTGAGAGTGTATGACTGGCCCCAAATCACCCAGCTGGTTTTCATGCCTAAGGGAGACCTAAAACCATCTTTCCTAGACCAGTGCTGTTAACCTTAAAGCCAAACTAGAGTACTGTATAATTCCCCAATTTAGGCACTTGCCACACATGTGAACTTTCAATTCCCAGAATTCCCTAGCAAATATCAACCAAGTTTAACCCAGCTTAGCTGTTTAGGGATCAGCTAACATTGGCTGGGCCATAGATGCAATTAAACCTCAAGTATAGTTACTCAAAACTAAGCCCCCCAAATTAATGATAACAATATGCATATGTCTGAAACTTCCTTTAAGAGGAATGGAAGGCGGTTAGGCTGAGCAAGTGTTTCATAACAGGTTAATTTTGAAAGGAGAGAGAAGTAGCATATATTTAAGAGGGATGTTTACAATATAGGCATACTAAGAGTGAGATGCTCAGATGGGGCTGGAAGAACTGCTAATACAGAGGGCATCTGCTTCACATCTAGGAAGTCCCAGATTTGATGCTGGAGAAACTCCTCCCCCAGTCCTGCAGGGCCATCGACCCTGTAAATACTGGGCTCAGTGGACCAATGGTCTAATTCAGTGCAAGACTGCTTCCTCTGTGGGAAGACAAATAGGATTGTGATTCAATTCACAGTGGCACAAAAATCCAAATGTAATACAGCATTGTTGTAAAGAAGCAGGAAAGCAGAGTAGTGGAACAGTCAGGCTGGGGGATGGAAGGCTTCCAGCAGAGAGGAAGACCAGAGTAAGCCACACAAAGCCTTAAGGTAAGGAGTTTGGCTTTAGGTCGGGAGGAGGCTCTTAAATGCTTTTGAATGAGCTTCAGAAGGTTGCATTTACCCAATGCTTAACTCGGTTCCTGAATTAACCCATTTCCTGGGTTTGTCCCATAAACTAACCCAGGGAGCTGGCTCTGCTCAACCAGTTACGCCACAAAAACTAAGTTCAGCAGTTTGTGCGAATGCAACCGCTAGGTTTGCAACTGGCCTGGTTAAAGATGCTGCGTCCCCACAGCCACCGCTCGCTACTCTTACAGAGTCCTTGAGCACTTCCAATTTCTGTCTAGAGCTCCGGGAGAGTTTTTGTCTCTCTCATTCTCTCATTTCTCCCCCGCAAAAAAAAAAAAAAAAATGCTTAAAAGCGGACTTGCGCCTTCTCATCTCAGGGTCACCTGGGGCTTCCTCAGGTGCGAGAGATGCACTTCGCACACTCTCAGAGGAACGCCGCCTTTTGCAAATGCTACAGCTGATATTCGCCGCCTGCATTTTCTTCCTCCTCCTCCTCGTAACAGGCAGATGTTAGGTAGGTGAAGCTCGCCCGCCTCCACTGCACAGCAGAAGCCCGGGTGACTCGGCTTTCCCAGATGCGTGGATTCCATCTCCCATAACCTCCTGGCCTTGGGCGGGGATGATGGGACCGTAATTCAACGCTCAGAGGAGACAAGCAAGCTCGCCCAGCTGATCAGCAGCCACGCGGTTCGGGGCGGTCACGTGACACGGCAAGGCCCCTGCCACGTGATCTGCCTCTGCTCTCGGCCCCGGGAGCCAGACGACGCGGCGCGATGGTGGTGCTGAAGCGGGGGCTGCCGTGGCTGGTGTCCTCGCTGCGGCCGGTGAGCGAGCAGGCCGGCGGGCGGGTCGCCAGGCGGTCCTCCTGGGCCACTTGCAGGGCCGCTGCTGCTGGGAGGCGAGGGCTCAGCGCGGGCTAGACCATCGGGCGCTTTGGACTTCATTTTCCAGCAGCCCGGGCATAGAGGGTGGATAGCAGAGGATTGTGGGAGTTGTAGTCCAAGAAAGCTGGAGGCCCCAAGTTGTCTAGCCCTGCCCGTGCGTATGGCTGCGTCCTTAACCAGGTGACTGGCAAACCTGGCGGCTGCATTCGGGTCGGATGCTGGCTTGGGTTGGGGTCGGGGCTGGCCGTTTGTTGTTGGGTTTTGGATTTTTTCGTGACGTAGTTGTGTTGGGAGAACTTCGTCTGCTTGATTCGTTTGTGATGCAAGGTATTGAACAAAGTCCAAAGATAGGGCGAGTCGGTGAATTGTGTTTTTTGCACTCCGGGATCAGAACAGCCGGGTCATGAGGTGGATTCTGTGTCGTGAACTGTTTTGAGACTTTTGCAATAGTTAGTTTAGGTCTGCTGAAGAGTAACATGAATAGAGCGTGTACATATACAGTACACCCCTCCTTCGTATGCGGGCACGCACAAGTTATGTCTGGAGCAGGGAGCTGCAGTCCTGTCTCTGAGCCTTCAGCCCTGGGTGGGAGTACTGGGGTCAGAGTGAATTCCACCTGCACAGCTCTGATAGGTGGCTGCAGCCCGTCTAGGGTAACACCTTTAACTGTGGAGTCTAGCACTGAAGATGCTACCTAGCCGGGTAATGAAACATTTGCAAGAAAACAGCCAAGCTCAGAGAACCCCAAAGACTCCACAGTTCAACCCTGAGCTACACATATTCACTTCTATTGGTACCTTTAACTTTTCCAAGGACTTAGGGTGCACTCCAGCTTGTATGGGGGCTGGCTTTTGGGGTCATTCTTATCCTAGGCTAAGCATGGCCCACCTTTTAGTGGCTGGGGCTGTGCTTACCTCTTTTATTTATTTTTTTGAAAGGGCAAGGGATGAAGTAGGTCAGACAATGTTGCATGTATGTGCAGGGCTAGAACTTTCGGCTTTTTTCTGGCTTTTATGGAGAAATGTTGGGTGGGGATACCTACCTAAAGGCTTGTGCTTCAGTTTTCCTTGGAGCTGTGTGTAGCACTCAAAGTTTTGAGCCTCATCCTTTGAATAACTCGCTACTGCTGCTTCAAGGACTTTCCTGGGTCACCTCTCCATGCAGCAGTGTATTTACACTCATGAACAAACAACCTGGGAAAGGCCTCGAAGCAATCGTACTGAGCTTTCTGGCAGACATGGCGGCCTCAGTGCTTGCACCAGTGCACTTCATGAACTGTCTGTTGCATGCTTTATACGGCCTTAATTTTCATGCCTTTCACACCTGAAAGTGTGCAGAAATGTATAGCTAGTTTTTAATTAGTTGAGGGAGGGTTCAGAGACCACTGAATCACAGCTTGGGAGCCACATATAGCTCTGGAGCCTCAGATTACACCCTCCTGTCTTACGTGGATGGTGATCCATATAAGGATGGAGATCCAAATGGTATTCCAGAATATATTTACTATTCCCCCAAAATTGCACATCAAAAGATAACAGGTAGCCAGGGATGACAGCTGCTAAAAGCTGACCTGTGGGTAAATTGGTGAACTACCACCAATTTTACAATGAACTTTTAACTTGGAGGTTCTCTGCAGAATAGATTTCCTGGAGTTCCCTGGAACACAGTGGTTTTCAAAAACATGATTTAAATAACCACCATGTTCTTCATTGAAGAAGTATATATAGCATCTGTATGCAAGAGTGTTTTACGACAGTGACGAATTACACCCGAAAGGAAATGAAGCAATATAAAGGAGAAACCGAGCCAAATTGCAGTAGCAAGTAGGGCAGGAATTTCCTACTGAGCCATCTGTAGGGAGGTAGAAAGCTACCTTATTCTGGATCATCTAGTTCAGCATTGTCTGAAATCTGAGGCAGTGATGGTCCACGATTTCTAAAAGGTCTTTCCCAGCCCTGTCTGGATGTGCCGAGACTGCCTCGAGGGTCTTTTGCTTCGGAATGGATTCTCTATCACTGTGCCGTGGCACTTCTTATTTTCTAAAGGTGAGACTTAGGGCTGGACAGTGTGACTCAATGGAGCATCTGCAGTCAGAGGCCAACCCTGGGCTTCAACCTGTGCAAACAAAACAAGTTGGGACAGAAGTGGTTCCAGAAGCCTAGTAATGAAATAGCCTTAGCTGCTTTGGACCTTGTTGGGAGTGTAGGGTAATATTTTATACTACTTCAGGAGTAAAGGTAAATTAAAAAAAATATTGGAAATTGTAAGTGCCAGCCTTGTGCTAATAAAGACTTCCTGGACCTGCTGTCTTCTACACAATCCCATGATTCTCAAGGAGTTATAATCTGACGTATCTGGAGACTGAAAATGTAAGGAATTGTAACGTATCTGTCTCTAACATATCGGCATTTCTTGAATAATCACAGCGCTAAGCAAAATAACTTTTTTTTTCTTCCTCATACGTTCGATACACTCAGGACGCTATATATTGTCTACTGAATTGGGACTCTTTCTTTTCTTTCCCTTGTTTTACAGCTCAGCTCAACAGGAGCTGGAACATTTCCCAAGCATGTGAAAATAGTTGAGGTCGGTCCACGGGATGGCTTGCAGAATGAAAAGGCAAGTGACCTCTGCTAAGCTTGTGGCTGAAATCTGAAATAAGTGGTTTTGATGGTTTTGTGCTAGTAAAGGGAATATTTTGACATCAGTACTATTTTGATTTTCCTCCTAGATAGAATGTCAGCATAGCGTAAAAATTCAACCCTGAATCCATGTTCCCAGAATTCCCGTCAGTTAATTACTTGAAATATGTTGATATGAGCCAGTAAATAGTGCTGGAAGGTAGTCAGAGATTTAAAGGTGCTCAAAATACAGTCATCTACAATTTCATGTGGACATTCTAAAATGACAGCTTAAACCAGGCTGTGAAATGGATGCAGATTACCTGCAAATGATGTAAGAAATAGAGTCTCACAAGGGGTTCTTTAATAGATGGAAGATCTGAATTCATAATATAATCATAATATTTTACAATCTTTGATATATACAGTAGAATGAACCGTGGTGTAGATTCTGGCACCAGCTGTGACTTGCCTTACATATTTGTCCTAAATGGCTGAGATTATAATGTGTAAAGTGTAGGACCTTAATGAATGTTAATAATGTGTAGTATTTATGTAGTTCTTTTAATGGTCAGCAAAATGGTCTTACAACAAAACTGCAAAGAATTATCTGTATTATTCTCCTCATCTTGCAAATTTGGGAATGAAGTGAATATTGAAAAAGATTTCCCAAAACCCAGAAAGTAATTTCATGCCAGGGGCGAGGTTTGAACTGAACCTTTCCTAGTTCAGAACAAGCTCAGAACAACAGCCTTTAAGATGTGGAGCTCAACTCCCAGAATTCCCACATTTTAAACTTGCTGAGGTTGAGAAACACTGGTCTAAATCACGTGGATGCATAAAGCAAAAAAATGTTTGGAATCATCAGTGTCATACAGCTATATTAGGCCAATATTCCATTAAGTTTCTCCCAGAAACAAATATATTACTTCTGGGGAGTCCATAAGCCAGATATTAAGACAGTAGCTGTCTTCTGTTCTGGCCTTCATTTGCCTAGTGCTTCTGAGTGACCAGGGATCATCATTCCGCCATGAATTTGTCAAATCTCCTCTTAGAGTCATTTGAGCAGTGGGCTTTCAACCAGAGCAGTGTTTCTCAACCTTGACAGCTTTAAGATGTGTGGATTTCAGCATGCTGGCTGGAGAATTCTGGGAGTTGAAGTCCACACATTTTAAAGTTGCTAAAGTTGAACAACACTAAGCTAGAAAAGACTCTGCAAAAGTCTGTCCAGTCTCTGTCCTGGAATAACCTGACTGATGGTGGAGGGAAGCTGTATAAGAGATGCAGAATCACAACTAGGGACTGACTTAAATATTTACCCATTGCAAAGTCTGCCGTGCATTGGCAAATCTCAGAAAAGGAAGTGTTTACCAATCTGACTGGTGTCACAAAGCCAACAAAATTAAATCTGCAGGTGAATGTGTTTCTATTTATTATAATAGGTGTCTTGTTTTTGTGTGCACGCTCATTTGCCAGGTCTATTTTAAAAATTCAGGGTCAGTTAAGATACAAAGAAGAAATGGAAGGTGTTACAGTATGCAGTGATTCCACCACCAACTAAATGTTGAAAAGGAAATACAATTATGGAATTACTGTTTAATGAGAATTCTCTCTCTCTTTTTCCAGAATATTGTTCCCACTCACGTGAAAATTGACTTAATCAACATGCTATCAGATACGGGTCTTTCAGTTATAGAAGCTACCAGTTTTGTATCTCCAAAATGGGTTCCACAGGTCAGTATGGAGAAGGATATCAAGGAATTGGCTGAACAAGCTACAGTTACTTTGCTCCTTTGCAAGACCCAGTCTGGCTTCTTCAACATACCGTGATTAAAGCAAACTTTAGCTTAGTCTTTGTTATTTGTTATTGTAGCATATTTTAATTAATTAATATTTATCCTTTTGAATTAATGTTTGTTCTGTTTTTACTGTAAACCCACCAGAGTCACTCTGCAGTGAGATGGGCAGTGACAAATTTGAAATATAAATAAGTAAATAATAAATGAATATCTCAGCTTGGTTTCTTTCATAATGAGATGCACAGTTTATGTTCTTCCATTCCAGTAAATTCTGAATCTAAAGGCTGGAGATGTTCTACCCTTATAAAGGGTGACTAGTAATTGCAGTTTAGTACAACATGTGTGAAAGGGTTGTTTCTGAGGAATTAAAATCCTGCTGTTTATTCTTCATTTTGGTATCTAGATGGCTGACCACACAGAAGTCATGCAAGGCATCCGGAAGATTTCTGGCATCAGTTACCCTGTTTTGACACCTAACCTCAAGGGTTTTGAAGCAGCTGTAAGAGACTCCTGCAATGCAAAAGCTCCTAGGTCCTTGCATTAATGGAGAACAGAGTGGTTGTTCAGCGACTGTGCAAAGTTACAACAATGCTGAAGAAGGAGACTTACGATTGGTCCTCGAAGTTGGGACCATCCCAGCACCCTGGCAGACACGTGGTCGCGAACTGGGTGCTTGGCAACCCATTCACACTTATGACTAGTTGCCAAGCTCCCCGCAATCACATGATCATCATTTGCAATCTTCCCTGCTGACTTCCCCCAAGCAAAGTGAATGGAAAGCTGGCAAGGAAGGTGACAAGTTGCTGGGAGTAGGTCTCCCCACTCTGGCCTTTCTTTGCATGCACCGTGCCCTCCTTCCTCCCTTTGCTTGCACACACCCTGCACCCTCTTTCCTTGGCCTCCCTGCACTCGCATGCACCCTGCGCCCTCATTCCCCAGCCTTTCTGAGCTTGCACTGCACCAACCACCCCCCCAACTCGTGTAAGGCCTGTGCCGGGCCACCCAGGGCCTCACCCGCCCCACTGCGGCACCCCTGCACTCCTTAGCTGGGACTCCCTCCGCTTCCCACTTAACAACCCATGCATCTTGGGTTATGATGACAACTGGGACTGCCTGGATTGCTGTCACTAAGCAATGTAGTCACGTGATGTTGCACTTTACGACCGCATTGCTTAGCAGTCCCAATTGCAGTTGTAACTCGAGGACTACTTGTAATATCTAAGCTCTTTCTTATATGTTGGTAGGTGGCAGCAGGAGCCAAGGAGGTGTCAATCTTTGGAGCAGCATCTGAGCTCTTCACAAAAAAGAACATCAACTGTTCCATAGAGGAGAGCCTGCAAAGATTTAGCGATGTCCTGAGTGCATCAAAAGAAGCTAATATTCCAGTCCGAGGGTAAATATTAGGACTGCATGCTGATTTTGGTGATGAACAAGTATCCTTATGTGTAGCCAATGAGAAGGGAAGGCTGACATAGTGAAAGAAAGAGGGACCTAAGCAGGAAAATATCAAATAGATATCCTTTCCAGAAAATACAGAATATTTTCCTTAGCTCAGTCTTCCCCAGTCTGGCACTCTTCAAATGTGTTCAGCCTCCAACTCCCAGGCTTCCAAGCCAACATGGAAGTTCTGTTTACCAACTAGGTCTAGTGATAATAAAAAGACTTCTCCTCCTCTATGGATTTTTTAAAAACCTCTTAAGTATTTAGCTCAGATATAGTCCGGTAACTTCCCTACCTAATGCTAATTGTGAGAAAAGGTTGTATTGTGACTGTCCCCCATCAAAGATATTGTGTTATGGATGGACATCTCTTGAATGAAGCAAGAGGAGGCATGGGGGCTGCTCGTTTGGATGAACTAATCTCCATTATTTTGTGTGAGAAAGTGGCATTTTCTTTCCTTCTCCTTACAGCTACGTCTCCTGTGTTCTTGGCTGCCCTTATGAAGGAAAGATTGCTCCTGCTAAAGTGGCAGAGGTGAGTTCATGTTGTAAATGTGTTCAGAAGAGAAGTGTTCTTTTTTGGTAAAAAAACCCCCTACATTTTACAAAAAAATAAAATAAAAAGCCTTTGTTAAACCTTGCCACACACGTACTGTCATACTGACTGAGTTCGGTTTGCAGTCTGTTCTGATTTCATTGCAAGGACAGGAGAGACCAAAGGTCAGAGGATCTGTATAGAGAAAGTTCCCTGTTGGATTCTTAGCATCTCTTCTCTGAAAAGGCTGTTTCTTCGCAGGCACCAAGCCAAGCCCTTGGTGAGCTGCTTTAACTCACAGAAAACACTATTGAGTTAGATGTGGACATGCAGTCTGACTTGGAATGAGACACTTGAATGGACTCATAAATATCCACCCCCATGACCAGCAGCTGTCAGTAATAAGGAAAAGCCCATTGCACATCTTCACATGGGATAAATTGGACTCGTTCCCCCCTTCCACACCCTGCTTCTTTTCAGACGTGTTTCAGACTTGAATGATGCAAACTGAAATCTAATGAGCCCAGAGAAAAACAGATACTAGTGGAAGGAGAAGTTGGAACTCTGAAAGTTCCTTCTGAAACTAGTGTTCTTTGTAATGGGTACTTCTAATTTTAAGGGTTGTGTGCCCTTAAAATGTTATCTACTGCTCTGATACTGAAGTAATTTTTATGAACTAACAGAAGTGGTTTGCTGTAAAATTTGGATCGTGGAGGAATTTGACATGGGTTGAAGACAAGATGATTTCCCATCTAGGGAAAATTGATAGTGTGAACAAGTGAATGTTGGTTTCTGCATTAGTGTCTGGATAAAAATGGAAGGCTTGGCTGTGAGAGTGTAGATGCTAAAGCAATTCTTATGATTTAGAACAGTGTTGTCCAAACTTGGCCACTTTGGT